AAGAGCAGAAATCAGTGAAATAGAAAACAAAAACACTTAGCATACCTCTTTTAAAGATTTATTTATTTATTTATCTGCTACAGGGCATGCACACTCACCAGAGAGAGAGAAAGAGAGAGAAAGGAGAGAAACAGAGAGAGAAGAAAAGGAGAAAGCAAGCTGTGAAGTCTGGGACTTGAACCACAGTTGGCCATGTGGGGGTTCAGCATCTAAACCACAACACCACCTGCTGGTCCAGCATCATAACCTCTAGGTTTGTCTTCTTAGTGTCAAATGACAGTATTTTGTTGTTCCTTATGGCTGAGTAGTATTCCATTCTGTGTAAGTGCCACATTTTCACAAACAGCTCATCAGTATGGGGGTACTTACATTGATTCCATGTTTTAGCTTTTGTGCATAATGCTGCAATAAGCATGGCAGTATGAATGTCTCTCTGACAGAGTAACTCCTGTACTTTGGGTATACCAATAGTAGGATTACTGCGTCTCACAGTCGTTCTAGTTCAGATTGTTAAGGAGTCTCCATACTGTTGGGAGAAAAATTTTAACAGACAATGTATGTAAATATGAGGAAGAGATTATGGAATGGTATACCACACAGAATAAAAACATGGACAATTCAACATATACTTCAAGAAAAAAATTACTAGAACTATTAACAAATGTGCAAAACACAATGTAATCTTTAAAGGTAGAGAAGATGAATATGTGTATATCCTTGATCCAATTATTACACAGTATATGCATTCTTTGAAAACTCACAGTGTACCTTACAAAGATGTACATCAAATATATGTAAACCAAGAATCATGATAAAAGAATTTAAGAAAGAAAGAAAACATAAAATAATGTATCAGTAAAACTAGAAGTTGTTCTTTGAGGGAAAAAAAATTATAAATAAACCAAGTTGATTAAGAAAAAAAATTTAATGGAAATTACTAATACCAGGAATGAAAGGAGGGAAGGCAGGTTTTCAAAAGAATATAAGGAAACTTCCAGATGACTTTTGGAGGTAATAGATATATATGTTTATTATCTTGATTGTGGTGATGACTTTACAAGTATATTTCAAAACATATCAAGTTGAATATTTTAAGACTGTTTGTTTGTACAAAAATATAATGTGTGGAGGCCAAAATATGGTATGGTGGTTAGGGGTGCTGGACTCCAACATGGCCAACCATGGCTCGAGTCCTGGACCTGGCAGCTTGCTTTCTCACTTTCCCTCTCTCTCTCTCTCTCTTTCTTTCTCCCTCTCTCCCTCTCTGGTCAAATTAAAATATGTAAATAAATAAATAAATAACATTAAATAAAATAATTCTTAAAAAATATATAATGTGTATTGACTTAGGATAATTAGTATATTTATCATCTCAACCATTTGTCATTTTCTTGTGTTAAGAACACTCTAAATCATCTTTTTAGTTACTCTGGGATCTACAGTGAATTGTTACTAACTCTATGCACTCTATTGTATTTTATGACACTAGAAATTGCTCCTTTTATCTATTTGTAATTTTATTTCCATTAATCAACATCCCTTTGTAATTCCTCCCCTCTATTCTTCCCACCCTGTAGTATTCATTCTTCAACTTCCTACTTCTATGAAGTCATTTCTTCAAGTTTTTCACACATGAGTGAGAATATGTGGTATTTCTTTATCTGCACCTGCCTTATTATACATAACATAGTGTCTTTCAAGCTTGCCCACTCAAGTTTAATGACAGGATTGCATTCTTTTTAATGGCTGAATCATATTCCTTTGTAAACATCTCTCACATTTTCTTTATCCATTCATTTGTTGATGCTTTGTATCCTTGTACTGAAATATCATGTTATACCCATGAATATGTACAGTTATTTTATGTCAGTTAAAAAAAGTTTTTTCCTATCCCAAGTTATAAAAATCATTACAGGGATGAGCAGATGGCATTGAGGTTAAGGCACTGGACTCCCACATGGCTAACCATGGTTCAAGTCCCAGACTTGGTAGCTTGCTTTTTCACTTTCCCTCTCTCTCTCTCTGTCTCTCTTTGGTGAGTGGACATGTTCAGTAGCAAATTAAAAAATAATAATGATAAATAAAAATTAAATAAATATTTTAAAATTATTACAGAAAAATATGACTCTATTCTTAAATAAGGCACTGGACTCCCACATGGCTAACCATGGTTCAAGTCCCAGACTTGGTAGCTTGCTTTTTCACTTTCCCTCTCTCTCTCTCTGTCTCTCTTTGGTGAGTGGACATGTTCAGTAGCAAATTAAAAAATAATAATGATAAATAAAAATTAAATAAATATTTTAAAATTATTACAGAAAAATATGACTCTATTCTTTAAAGAATAATTATCTTTTGATTCAAAAATTGAGCCTCTTTTCTATTTTTTTAATTGTTGTAAAAACTAAACTCTACTATCATAGAAAAGCTAAGGTTATTTTAATAGTTCTTTGTTATTCTTGCCTTTAGTTTCACCTAACTCATAAGAAGTATTGTGGTTCAATAGTATATACAATAAATAGAAATCCAAGGAGAAAAATATGTAAGAATGGAAACTTTGGCACCAGCTTCTCAGCAGCTGCAGAGTGGTGACTTCTATAGGGGCTGCCAGAAACCCATCAAAAAGAAATACCATAAAGTTCCTTTATAATGCACTATTTGATGTGGTATTTGACATTTTGCATTACCTTTAGTTATCTGATCTTTAAAAATCAAATCTCACACATATGAACTACCACCCAAATAAACTAGATAGAGTAAGTCTTTTTTGGGAATCAGCAGTTAGCGTAATGGCTATGTCACTAGACTTCCACATAGTCGACCACGGTTTGTGTCCCGGACCTGGTGGCTTAAAACTCACGCCGGGTGCATGTGCGTGCGTGCCCAAGATCCCAAGAGGAGAATGGAGGAGAAGGGATTGCGGCGTGACCATCCCCCCTGGGGGGTGATTTCTCGCTTTCTGTCTCTATGTCTCTCTCTGGCAAGCGCACGCGCCCTATAGTGAAAATCTCTCAAAAAAAAAAAAAAAGTAAGTCTTTTTTTTTTTTTTACAAGTTAGTATTTATGGAAAAGAAAAAAAATGATCAAATAATAATAATAATCCAGAGCCAAGGTCAGCAGGCGGCATAATGGTTAAGGTGATGAATTCCAACATGGCTGACTCTGTGGGTAGATTCTTAGTTGACTGAGAATCACTTCAGGTGTTTGTATGTGCATGCCCAAAATTCTGAGAGGAGAATGGAAGAGAATGAATTGTGGCATGGCCATCCCCCTGGCAGGGGTGGGGGGAAATGTGATTCTCACTTTTCCTCTTCTTGCTCATTCTCTATCTCTCTCCAGTGGGTGCACACGCCCTATAAAATATCCCTCATGGGAAAAGGTCCTGGGTTCATGTCCTGGGACATCAAGTATGCCTGCATATGCCCATGTCTGAGCCAGCTGAAACTGGGGGTAGGTCATAGTTGTAAAGACCCTATTGTGGGTCTATCTCTCACTCTCTCTCTCTCTCATGGAAGATATGAACACATAAACTTTTAAAATAAAACAAACAAAAAAAAAAAACAGAGAATCTGTATCTCAATTACACCACACTAAAACTGTAAAAGAAAATAAGAATTAAGCAGAAATCCCCTTGGACGACTAAGGCATTTCCTTTGAGGTTGCCTCCTCATTATCTTAATTAACACAATTTTAACAAAAGAGAAGACTTTCCACAAAAATGCATTTTACAGCAAAATTTTACATGGTAAGATTATTATTCTCCCTATTGACTTTTTGGAGCAGATTCTTTTGGAAAAATAGTTTTTCCACTCAGTCACTATGTAAAGGATAGGATCAGAGTTATGTCTATCCTCTTCCAATGACTCAAGGGATGCATCTTTACATTACGCTCACATTTAATTTTCTACAGCACTTGCAAGGATCAGAGGTTCTTTCAGTTGTATCGCAAAATTTTGGCAGTTTTTTCTCCTGGATTACACCATATCAATCATGTAAAACAATTCCCAGTGTAGGTGTACATGTTTATTTTTAGTACGTGCATCTTGACTGTAACACATACTGCTCTTAATCTTCTAGTCCAAATTTTCTCAACACTGAAAGTACATTAGAATCACCTGTCAAATATTTTGGATTGTTTTTAGATTTTAAAATACCATAGGAATCATTTAATCATTCAATTACTCCATTAGATAAGTCAGCATTCTGAATCTCTTTACCTTAAACTCTAGGAGTTACATTGAGATTTATAACTTCAGGGGGAAAAAAAAGAATACTTTTGAAATTGAGAATGGCATTAAAGAGCCAATTTCTATAATATGGATTAGCATTAATGTTTATACAGCCATTGTATGAGTATTATAATGATCTATACCCTGGGATTCACAAACATCAATACAAACTCTTATTAGAGATCCTCATAAACATAAAGAAATACAATTGTCATCTTCAAGTCAACACCATATTTCACATTTGTAATATTCTTTAACATGGGCATCAGAAAGAAAAATATACAGCTTATAAAAATGACTAACAGATTGAAATAGCAGAGACATTTGCAGTGAAAATTTCTTTTTCTTTAAAAGAGAAGACTGCATATCAAAACAAGCAATTTTGGTCTATTTCATGAATATAAGACAATACTGTGATTGCTAAGGATATTTCCCATTCTTGACTTAAAAAGAAGTGTGGTGATTTGAAACTGAGATAATGGTTCTACCATATGTGCCAGATCCCAAGACTTAAGGAAAGACAAAGAGGCACAAAATAAAACAAAAGCAAAAAGAAGTAAGTTTAAAATGCTCAGTTATAGAAAATATCACTTGATGTGTCTGTGCTTGGATATTGGAATGAATTCACTGGATTCAAGGGAAGCAAACAGGAAGAAGAGTCATAGCAAATGGCCAAAAACAGAGGTTACAAAAAAAAAAGTTTGCATAGTTTTTCAAGGAGAAATCTCTAACTGTGTGATTTGGTGAACTAGAAACTGAAGAGCTGAGAGACTGTCACTTTGAGAAAAGAGTGTCCCTCCTTAAAAGTCTCCCTAATGCCCCTTTCATGTCTCTGTTCCTCAGGCTGTAGATAAAGGGATTTAGCATGGGGGTGACCACTGTATACATCACTGAAGCAATAATATCTTTGTCATTGGAGTTATTTGATGATGGGAAAATGTACAGTACCATAATAGTTCCATAGAATAGAAATACCACAGAGAGGTGGGAGCCGCAGGTAGACAAGGCTTTGCAGATCCCTTTGGCAGAGGGAACTCTCAGAATAGAAATGCCAATACGAACATATGAGACCAGGATGCCTACCAATGGTATGATGATTCCCAGTGCCCCCACGGTGAAGATGACCAGTTCATTGATGGAGGTATCAGAGCAGGATAATTTGAGTAGAGCAGCAAGATCACAAAAGAAATGAGGAATAGTATTATCAGCACAGAAAGACAGTCGGACCAGGCTGAGCGTATGGGACATTGCACTGCTACATGAGAATAACCAGGACCCAGCCACCAGAGAGATACACAGGTTTTCTCGCATGATGGTGGTGTAGTGTAGAGGGTGACAGATGGCCACGTACCTGTCATATGCCATCACTCCAAGAAGGAGATTATCAATGCAACCAAAAAATATGAAAAAGTACATCTGTGTTACACACCCTGCATACAGGATGGATTGATCCTGAGTGTGCATGTTCACCAGCATCTTTGGGACAGTGACAGAAGAAAAGGAGACATCAGTGAGGGCCAGGTGGCTGAGGAAGAAGTACATGGGGGTGTGCAGGCGGGAGTCCAGCCGGATGAGCAGGATGATGAGCAGGTTCCCCAGCACCGTGGTCAGGTACATGCCCAGGAACAGAGCAAAGAACAGGCCTTGCTGCTCTGGCCGGATGGGGAGCCCCAGGAGGAGAAACTCGGACACACTGCTCTGGTTCTCTCTCATGTTGTTATTCCCTCTGATGAAGATGAAGTGAAATAGGAAAAGTCAAAGACTTTGAAAGTCGTGATTATGGCCACCACAGTAGAGCCTCTTTCTTTAGCCTAGAGAATAAGAATAACTGTCTGAATTTCTATTATCATCAACTAGTGTTGCCAAAGTGGACAAGTCACCCTCCATGCTCAATATGATTCATTTAAATGGAAACTAGAGCAAATGTATCATTCTTGTTTCCTTTAATCAACCATTTTTGCTATGAAATGAAGTTATGAGAGCAAATAGAGTACTGTGGACTCTTTTCAGGATGCCAACTCTCTAGGGAGTACCTGGCAGAGAACTGACTGGAGGTGTGAATCTGGAGCTAGATTCTTCATTGTGATTATGGCCTTGCCGTTTTACAGCTGTGAGACTCAACTTGAGCTAAATCTCTGTTGGCCTTGTGTAGTGCCTCTGTAATGTAACGATACCAGTATCATACATCCATAGGGCTAATGTGAGGATTTTAACTCAATACACATCTTAGAAGAGTGTTCTGGGACCAGCAGATGGCATAATGGTTATGTTGCTGGACTCCCACATAGTGGTCTGAGTCCTGGACCCAGCAGCTTAAAAAACCCATGCCAGGTGCATGTGCGTGCATGCCCAAAATCCTTAAAGGAGAATAGAGGAGAAGGGATTGTGGTGTGGCCATCCCCCCCAGAGGTAATTTCTCGCTTTCTGTCTCTCTGTCTCTCTGGTGAGCACACATACCCTATAGCAAAAATCTATTTTATGTTCTGCATAAAATAAACATTCAAATATTATATCAATTATTTTTATGATGCCATAAGTTTTCAAATAAAACCAGATCAAATTCATAAAATTTAATAAATCAGCATTATAAGATAGCAGAAAGAACCAGATAACTGACCAAAAACAATATTAACCTATCTGATCTCTCACACTCTTAAAGGAGTTTTTGTGTCCACATCCCAACCACTGAGGTAAACTTCCTGATGAAATCTGTCTTAGAGAAGGTTTATCAGTTTTCCAAGAAATAAACTGTACTGCAATCTATGTATCTCCATCTATATATGACACTAAACACTGCCTTAGACTGGGTGTTCATAGGCAACAGGACACTTGAGCATCTGTCTTCATACCAAGTACTTCCCCCTGGGCAGTAAGGAAACAAAGAGTTAGGTGCCTCAGCCTTTATGAGACTGCATAAGTACTTACTATGTGCCTGATACTTGTTTAAGTGCCTCAGGTGAGGATTTACAGCAATTATCATTACTCTATTTGACTATGGAGGCTATGGAGCATCAGAGAAGCCAAATCCAGGGCCACAAAGCTACTAAGTGAGAGAAAGGCAAAGATTTGAATGTAGACATATGTGATGACAGAAATGAGCATTCAGTTACTAAATTATGTCACCAAAATTGAAGCTGAGTGTCAAAATTAGTTGGCTTCTAGGGACCCTGGGTAGAATTCAAATCACCGAAAAAAATGGATCACAATGTTTCATCAATATGAGCTTCTTTTGGAATGGTCTCTGTGGGTTCTGATTTCAGACAAGTGGAGAATCAGAATGTAAGAATATTAAACACAAGCACATACATACACACACACACGCATATGCACAAATGTTTGTTTCTTGGTTTTAATATTTCTCTGTCTTACGATCTGTATGAAATCAAGGTGTGAGTTTGTTCTACACAGAGGCATTCACACACTATTACAGATACGTAGGTGCTGGGGGGGTGATTTATAGACTTCCCTGGCTTATGCCCAAAGTAGGTAAATACAGCCAAGGTGTGAGTCAGCTTCAAAGATCCACGTGAAGCTCACAAAATACATTGTCCCACGTTCAACATAGCTACAAACACAGACCATCAAGCTTCCTATCCCACACATGCACTGTGGTCACAGGCAGTCATACCTCAAAAGCAACACACAAGATCTTACAGACAGTACACAGGCAACATAAACATGTATGAATCACTTACACATAATACATACATGACATATAATACATACATGAAGTCACACAACACAACACCAAAAAATGGACACAAAACTTTTCTGATGGACATACACACACAGGCACACATGTGATTGTGGAGATTGCTGAGCCCCCTCTGACGTATGCCAGTTTTAAAGTTCAAATACCTTCTGCTTCTTGCTGTTACCTGAATCCTCACTTTCAGTCCAGAAAGCCCAGGATTTGAGGAAAAAGAGAACACCTCGGTGGCCCAAGCACCTTTCCAGACTTTCATGTCTGTTCACACCTTCAAAATAACAGGCAAGATTTCGTTTTACCCACTAGAAAGAAGTCCCAGAAGAAACGATTTCAAGTCCCTGACTACAGAAGCAGTCAGCTTGGGCTAATTGCCCAACTGTCTCCTGACCCCTTGGGAACGAGTACATTTAGGATCCAAAGGGGCTGAGCTGCAGCTGCAGTCACAGCAGAAGCATCTCTAATATCAGTGGTACTTGGGCTTCTGGCCAAGTCTCCAACATGGAAGCAGCAGGTTCCTTGGTCGCCTGTGGTCTCTTCATCATGAGTTCAGTTTCTCTATACAGTAATGTATGTCTTGGGTCACATAAAGGCTCTATCAAGCTCCTGTAGGCTCCCTTACACCTATAGATGATGCCTTCATTATAACACAAAGTCCCTTAGAAATCTGCTGGTTGGGGCCAGCAAGTGACATGGTGGTTAAAGAGCCCACATGGTTGACCAGGGTTTGAGTCCTGGACCTGGCAGACTGAAACTCATGGCAGGCATGTGAGTGTGCATACCCAAGATTCTGAAAGAATAGAAGAGAAGGGATTGTGGCATGGCTATCCTTTCTCACTTTCCCTCTGTCCATATCCAACAAGTGCATGTTCCCTATGGCAAAACAAAAACAAGCAAACAAACAAAAACACTAGTCTCCCTACTCTTCTGTGAGACTCTGAAGAGTAGAATCTGTGTCCTGTTCAAGAGTCAAGGGTTTGAGCCTGTAAACTCTGACAAAAAAAGACTCTGGGTCCTCCTTTTACTAACAACATACCTAAACAACTTATCAAAGAGCTCTCCATTGAGTTATACAAAGCAGAAATAATAGTACTCTCAGTATGTGTTTGGGATAAGATTAAATGAGCACAGAATGAAAATGTTAATATTTCATTGTCAATGTCTTTTTATTGCTAGAAATCAGCTATGACAAACAATAGGTAGGGCTGACTGCTGGATGAATTCATTCATTAGTTCATTCACTTGTTTACTCAACAAAAAATTATTAAGTATCTCACAAAGGTTAAGACCAATATATGCTTTGGAGAAACAGCAATGAAGAATATAAATAGACATTTATCCTATGGAATATATATCCAAGTGGGAGGATATAGAGGGGGAAAATGTCACATAAATGGTATGTTAAATGGTGTAGTGTGCTGAGAAATAAGATAAGGCATGTTCATAAAGTTCATTGAAAAGGTGAATTATGAAAAAAAATATGCATGAGTTCCATACCAAAATTAACTTTTTACTTTTATTTTATTTTACATGGAATAAGAGACTACGGGACCCAGAAATGTGGTCAAGCACCATTTGCTTCTCTGCAAAGGAAGGTATATATATGTGTATGTGTGTGGGGGGGGATTAACATTTAAATCAGTAGCCTTTGAATAAACCCGGATTGCTCTTCCAAATGTAAGTGGGCCTCGTCCAATCAGTTAAAGGCTTTAAGAAAAAGATTGCCCTTCCCCAAAGCAAAGAGAAATCTGCCAGCAACTACCTTGAAACTCAAAGTGCAGCTCTTCCTGAGTCTCCAGCTGATGGTTACCCAGCTGATTATGGACTCGCCAGCCTCCACAATTAGTCACAAGTGACTAAGTCAATTCCTTAAAATAATCTCCCTTCCTCCCTCCTTCCCTCCATCTTCCCTTGCTATTTATAATCTATATCTCCATTTATATCTTTATCATCTATTTTTCTATCTATCTTTCTATCTTTCTTTTATCTATACATTCCACTAGTTCTTTTTCTCTGAGAATCCTGACCTAAACATCAACTATAGCCTTTAAGTGCTCTACAGATCTGGTCCCCTGATATTGCTAAACTTGTCATCTACCATTTTGCCCCATAACTGCTGGTCCCACGTGCACAAATTTTGAATGCATGGTTTTAGCTCATCCCTACTAGAAGTTTTAAGATATAAGTTTTTCTTATCTCAAAAATCCAACATAGAAGAGACCAGCAGTTAGCGTAATGGGTATGTTGCTGGACTCCCACGTAGTCGACCGCAGTTCACGTCCCAGACCCGGTGGCTTAAACTGACACCGGGCACGTATGTGTGCATGCCCAAGATCCCGAGAGGAGAATAGAGGAGAAGGGATTGCGGCGTGGCCATCCCCCCTGAGGGGTGATTTCTCGCTTTCTGTATCTCTGTCTCTCTCTGTCTGTCTGACGAACGCACACGCCCTATAGCAAAAACCTATCCAAAAAAAGAAAAAAAAAATCCAACATAGAAAGGAAAAAAATTAGTCTTCCTAGACTGGGGAAATTCAGTAATTGGATTGACTGCTCTGTGTTCCCTTATAAAGTTCTTTCCACAAGCACAACCAAACTGAATTTATTTAAGTTTTATAAAACTATCAAAAGTCCTTTATTAGTGGTCCAATAGACGCCCTCAGTGCTAGTACTGCTGGCCGCCTAAGAGCTGCCGAGGTCTGAGGAATGTCAACTATTCAACATGGAGGCGGAGGTCGATAAGCTGGAACTGATGTTCCAGAAAGCTGACTCTGATCTGGATTACATTCAGTACAGACTGGAATATGAAATCAAGACCAATCACCCTGATTCAGCAGGCGAGAAAAATCCAGTTACACTCTTAAAGGAATTGTCAGCAATAAAATCTCGGTATCAAACTTTGTGTGCACGCTTTAAACCAGTTGCTGTTGAACAGAAAGAGACTAAGAGCCGCATCTGTGCAACTTTGAATAAGACTAGGCTATGATACAAGAGCTACAAAAGCAGACAGACGTGGAGCTGGCACCCCTGACTGAAGAGAAAACTGCAGCAGACCACTTAACATCTCACATGCCAGATTTATGAAGCAATGGAATTGCAGAGTGGAACTCTACTGGAGAAGAGAACAATTCGAAACTTAGGAAGATATCTTTCAACACTTGATGAATAGAGGTGGGGGGCTGTGAAGGAGGAGGTTTGGCTTGAGACTAGACAGTAAAGCCTTTCAGAAAAGAGGAGACTATACAAAGGTCAGAAGCCAGGATCAGATGTGCATGCCTATAGTCCAAGACTGGGGAGGTTAAGGCGAAGGACTGCTAGTTTGAGGAAAGTGAGAAGGTACCCTAGCAACATAGCAAGACCATGTCTCAAAGAAAAAGAAAGAAGGGCAAATATACTATTGTATATATGTATATTGAGTATACATACATGTAATCTTATTTCAGACAACAAATTCCCTTAATACTATTCTGTATGTTTTCTTTTAATTTGCCAGAGGGCCTGTGCACTGGGTGGGGAGAGGCAGTGTGTTGGTTGGGGAGCATTTTTCTTCAGTTATCTTCTAAATATTGCTGCTTCTCCTCAGTTCCCTTAAAATTATTCTCTATGCCCTTATCAATGTATTATTTGTTCCTCAACAAATAATTTTTCTTTTTTTAATTTGCCATAGTGCAGGTTTGCTTGCCAGAGACAGATATATAAAGTGAGAGTGCACCCTCCCAGGGGGAATGGCCGTGGATTTTGGGGCACGCACTAACATCTTCAAGCTGCTGGGTTAGGAACATGAACCACGCAGTTGGCCACGTGGGATCCAGCCTCATCAACAGTCACACCATATTCTTGCCCTCCCAAACCTGTTTGTGGATGACTCCTAAATATAATGTCTATCAGTTCTGGATCCACATTTCCAATAAAACCTACTACCTGAATATTATAATTGAACATGTCCAAAATACTTAGTGAGTTTATTATTTTCCTGATGGACACTATCCTGTTAGCTGGAATTGAAACCTATACAACCATTGCTTCCCTTTATTTTCTCAGTCAATAAAACTTCTGATTTTGTCTTTGGGGAAAAAAAAAAAAGCCCTTTATTAGTTAGTTACTGCATTAAGAAGACAAGCATTCTGGGCTTTACTGGAACTAAACATTAGAAACATCGTCGAATATTTGTAACTGAAAAAATGAGAAAATGAAAAAAAATGAGAAAAAGAAACTAAAGAGCTGATTTATATTTCACTTATTTCAACAGATTAAAAACTGTGTCACATTAAAGGTTTTGATAGCTTTTGTGGAGGAGGGTTTCTTTTCTTTTTTGATTATTAAAACATTTCAGAAAACTTAAAATTCATTCTACTTGAGGTACCAGCAGATTGCAAAATGGTTACATCACTGAACTCCCTCGTGGTCAACCATGGTTCAAGTCCTGGACCCAGTGACTTGAAGCTGACACCGGACACATGTGCAGGTGTGCCCAAAATCCCTAGAGGAGAATGGAGAAGGATTGTGGCATGGCCATTCCGGGGGGAGGGGGGGAGTTTCCTTGTTTTCTGTCTTCTCTCTCTTTCTTTCCAGCAAGCGCAAACACCCTATAGCAAAAATATTTCTTTAAAAATAAAAAAGTAATTCTACTTGAGGATCAAAAATACTCATTTCATATTAGATAAAAAGAGACATCCTGACATATTTGAGAATTGTTACCATTTACCACCATGGAGTCAGAAATAAAAATATATAGATTAGTCCATAATACAATCACATCCCTTATCTCTAATTCTAGCTTAAACTAACCTGGTTTTATCTTTGGAGAGGAAGTAGAAAATGGTAATGTCCTGTTTTCCTTTTCAGAGAAGTGACTGGTATGTTGTTCTCTTGAAAGTATGTCATTTCTATTCAGAAAAATGAAGCAATGGAACATGCTCTTCCAAATGAACACATTCCTGAGTAATAAAAAGTTTGATACTTCGAAGACTACAAAGACAGTGTTTTGTGAGCAATGACATATTTAGGACTAAGAAATAATAAATGGGCAAAAATAACCAAAGTAAAAAGAATTAGTTCCAAGAGCTTAACTGTCCCTTTAAAGGACAATTAAAAGAATATTGGCAACATGGTGTGTGTGTGGGGGGGGTGGATGTCCAACACACAATTTATCAAGAAGACATCTCTGACAGGATCAGAGGATATAATAAGAAAATGATTGGGTAATTTTCACTTGAAGAAAAGATCGTTTTTGAAAAGGATCCCCAGAGCAAACTTTATGTCTTTGTTCCTTAGACTGTAAATAAAGGGGTTTAGCATGGGAGTGACTACTGTATACATCAGTGAGGCAATCATGTTTTTGTCATTGGAGTTACTTGAAGAAGGGGAAAAGTACAGCACCATAATTGTTCCATAGAATAGAGACACCACAGAGAGGTGGGAGCCACAGGTAGACAAGGCTTTGCAGATACCTTTGGTAGAGGGGGCCCTCAAGATACAAGCTCCAATGCAGCCATAAGAGACAAGGATGCCACTTAATGGAAAGACGGTAACTGCAGCACCTGCAGTGAATATGACCATCTCATTGAGAGAGGTATTTGAGCAGGACAACTTGAGTAGGATGGGGAGACTACAGAAAAAATGGGGAATGACATTGTCAGCACAAAAGGACAGCTTGGCTAGGAGGAGAGTGTGCAAGAGGGCACTGCCACAGGAGATAATCCAGGAGCCAGACACCAGCAGAACACACAGCCCCTCCTTCATGATGATGCTATAGTGTAGAGGGTGACAGATGGCCACATATCTGTCATATGCCATCACTGCAAGCAGGAGGTTATCAACACAGCCAAAAAGTATATAAAAATACATCTGTGAAATACATGCTGGATAAGAAATGGATAGTTGCTGAGACTGCATGTTCACCAGCATCTTTGGGACAGTGACAGAAGAAAAGGAGACATCGGTGAAGGCCAAGTGACTGAGGAAGAAGTACATGGGGGTGTGCAGGCGGGAGTCCAGCCGGATGAGCAGGATGATGAGCAGGTTCCCCAGCACCGTGGTCAAGTACATGCCCAGGAACAGGGCAAAGAACAGGCGCTGATGCTCTGGCAGAATGGGGAGCCCCAGGAGGAGGAACTCGGACACGCTGCTCTGGTTCTCCCTCCTCATGCTGCTTCTTTCTCTTCTGGGGATAGAACAGAATAGGAAGTGTGAGGAACTTATAAATGCTGAGCATAACCAGTACTGCAGGGTCACAGATTTCCTCCAAGTATCAGCATCAGTATACAGAAAAATCTCATTGTCCCTAGTGTCTAGTCCTAGTGCCTCATCCAGTCTGGTGAGAGTACTGCAGTGAACTTTGTCTGCATATTGATAGTAATCTAGAGAAAGTGTGTGACGTTGAAATCTACAATGAAACAATCCTAATATGTTTTAGTTTTTTATTTCAAACGTGAAAACACTAAGTATGATAGACACTAAGGAGAAAGTAGTAAATAAGACATGGTCCCTTCCTTTGGGGAATTTACATTCTAGGAAGCAATTCATATCATACTGACTAGGAGCATTTCTCTACAGACTTCTTGTGTGATTCTTGCTAGGAACTCTGTTCTCTCTCTCTCTCTCTCTCTCTCTCACACACACACACACACACACACACACACACATGCTACTTACAGCATTATTGAGGGAATTGGGAATTTTTAAAAAAATGTCTGGTACAAAGTGCTCAAAACAAATTCACTTCACATCCACTCAGGTAACTATTATTAAATAACAACAACAAAACAGAAGACAACTATTAACAAGGATGTGAAGAAATTGGAACCCTCGTGCATTGCTGGTGGGAAGGTAAACTTGTGCAACCACTATGGAAAACATTATGTGTTTTCTCAAAAAATTAAATATAGAATTAGTATATGATCCAGCAATTCCACTTCTAGGTATAGAGCCAAAAGAATTGAAAGTAGAGTCTCAGACAGATAGCTACACACCCATGTTCATAGGAGAATTGCTCATAATAATCAAAAGGTGGCAGCAACCCACATCTACCAACAGATAAATAAGTTTTCAAAATGCACTGTATCCATACAATGGTGTAATAGTCACACATATAAAAGAAGAAAATCCTGACAAGAGCTACAACACAGAAGAGCCTTAAAGATATTATGTTAAGTGAAATAAGCCTGTTATAAAAGAAAGAAATACTGCTGGATTTTACTGATAAGAGTTTTCTAGAAGAGTCAAGATTAGAGACAGAAAGAATGATAAATGCTAGGGAATGAGGGAAGTACAATGGGAAGTTACTGTTTAATGGGCACAGTTTTAGTTTAGATATATGAAGGAGATTCTGGAGTTGGGTGCTGGTGATGGCTGCACAACACAATGAATGTACCTAATGCTACTGAACTGCATACTTCAAAGGGCTTAAAATGCTAAGTTTTATATTATGAATATTTGACCACAATAAAAAATTCTAATTTAGAAAATATATTAACAAGAGATAAGTTACTGGCTAAAAATAACAATCAAAAGAGAGCAATCGAAAAATTATTTAAAAATTAGTTTGCAGGATGAGGGACCAAGGTTACATGTCGGGAATTAGGAACATGAGAAGCCATCAAGCAAGATCAAGTAGCTTTCTGAAAGTCTGTGTTTATTTCTGTAGCCTCTCTCACATCCTGGAAAACTTAAAGGTCTATGTTATGGCCTCTGAGGAATAATGTACCCAGAGCCTTTGACTTATTGCATTTTTAATAAATTTGACAATAAATAACCTTCTTCCTATCTACATTGTCTTTATCTCTCTGTCCCTCTTCAGTGTTTCAAAATGGCTGAGTTCTGAGCATATACACCATGTTGAGTTGCCCAAGAATCTACAGTGACTTGTATAGAAATCCAGGATCTTTAAGATACTGTAGGACTGGAGAGTTACATTAGAATTAACAATCATCTGGTAACTAGACAAGATTCCAAAATTGACTGTACCATGTCCTTCAAAGAACAAATACAGAAATTAATGAAGGTCAATGGAGCAAACATTGGACCCACAAAGAACTTTAGTAGCCTTCAAACTACATGGATAAATTGCTATCATTTTAGCATAAAGAGTACTGTTTTGCTTAGAGTTGTCTATTTATGCCCGGAATTAGGATAAGAGAAGAGTTAGGCTGGGAATCTGATTCACTGGGTCAAATACAAACCGTATTGCTATGTCACTCAGCCCTCTGCTCTATATCCATTCAAAGTGAAAGGAGAGTGTGAGTGCATCACACACAAAAAGAGATGTGCAGAGTCACACACAGTGACTTAGAAACAAACACAGTAAGTTTGTTGTTTTTAAGCCTTCTCTGACTTATCTTATTTGAAAAGTGTAGAGGTTTCAGGACCAGCAGATGGTATAATGGTTATGTTGCTGGACTCCCATATGGTCGACTGCAGTTCAAGTCAAGTCACACATGCATATGTGCCCAGCTGCAAACATACTGGGCACATATGCATGTGTGTCTAAAATCCTAAAAGGAGACTAGAGGAGCAGGGATTGTAGCATGGCCAGCCCCTGGGGGGCTATTTCTCACTTTCTGTTTCTCTGGTGAGCACAAGTGACCTATAGCAAAAATCTCTCTAAAAGAAAGAGAAGGAAGGAAGGGAGGAAGGGAGAAAGGAAGGAAGGGGAAAGAAAGAGAGAAAGAAAGAGAGGAAGAAAGGAAAGAAAGAAAGAAAGAAAGGAAGGAAGGAAGGAAGGAAGGAAGGAAGGAAGGAAGGAAGGAAGGAAGGAAGGAAGGAAGGAAGGAAGGAAGGAAGGAAGGAAGGAAGGAAGGAAGGAAGGAAGGAAGGAAGGAAGGAAGGAAGGAAGGAAGGAAGGAAGGAAGGAAGGAAGGAAGGAAGGAAGGAAGGAAGGAAGGAAGGAAGGAAGGAAGGAAGGAAGGAAGGAAGGAAGGAAGGAAGGAAGGAAGGAAGGAAGGAAGGAAGGAAGGAAGGAAGGAAGGAAGGAAGGAAGGAAGGAAGGAAGGAAGGAAGGAAGGAAGGAAGGAGAAAGAAAGAAGAAAGAAAGAAAGAAAGAAAAAGAGTAGAGGTTTGCAGATTTCATACACTGTCACACACAACTTTAAAAACATGCAAACAGGAGCCTTCCTATACTTTGGTGGGTATGCAAAATTGTGCACCTACTATGTTAAACAGTACATAAATTCCTCAAAAAACTAAAAATAGGGGGTCAGGCAGTGGCACAGAAGTAGTACAGTTGATTTACTTGGGCAAGGTCCTATGTTCACATCCTGGGACCCCCCTGAGCATGTCAAGCATGAGTGTATGTCCCCATGATTTGAGCCAGCTAAGACTAGGGGTATATTGTGGCTAGAGATTCTATTGGGGTGGCTCTCTAGTTCTCCTGTTTCATTCACTTTCTCTGCCTCTGTCTGTCTGTCTGTCTCTGTCAGAACACACAGGATAAATTAATAAAAATTTTAATAAAATAGAACTATCAATATGATCTAACAACCTTGATTCTGGGTGTAGTCCCAAATGAATCAAAATCAAGATCTTGAAGAGATATCTTTATTCTTATGTTCATTGCAGCACTATTCACAATAGCCATTATAAAAACAACCCAAATGTTGGGACCAGCAGATGGCATAGCAGTCACATACTGGACTCCCAGATGACCAGCCATGGTTTGAGTCCCAGACCCAGTGGCTAGAAAATCACGCCAGACATGTGTGCATGTGTGCCCAAGATCCCAGGAAGAGAATGGAGAAGAAGGGATTGTGGCATGGTCATTCCCCTCAGGGGTGATTTCTCACTTTCCCTCTCATGTGTCTGTCTGTTTCTCTCTCTCACATGACCTAAGGCAAAAACCTCTTCAAAAAACAAACAAACAAACAAACAAACAAAAAAAACCACCATCACCATCCAAATGTTAATCAACAGATGAATAGGTAAAGAAAATGTGATATATACATATGATGAAATATTGTCTGTCATTTGTAACAACACTGATGAATCTGGAAGACATTATACTAGTGAAATAAATCAATCACAGAAGGAACAATGGTGCATGATTTCACTTATCTGAGGAACATAAAATGACACTCAAACTCATAGAAGCAGAGATGGAGTAGTGGTTACAAAGGGCTGGGAGAAGGAGGAAAAGGAGAGTTTTTCAACTGATAAAAATTTTGGTTATGTGAGGTGAATTCATTCTACAGATTTGATGTAGAGTGCAGTGCATACCATCAATAATGCTGTATTATGTACCTACAAATTTGTTAAGAGGATAGATCTCACGTTAAGGGTTTTTACAAAAAAAAAAAAAGAAAAGAAAAGAAAAAACAGGACACAGGAAACTTTTAAAAGTGATAGTTCCACAAGTGTAGGCCTAGGTCCAAACTCATTAAATTGTATATATTAAGTGTAAGCAGCTTTTTGGATATTAGTCTTAACTGAATAAAGCTGCCTTAAAAAAGAAACAGATCCAGGGAACCAGCAGTTAGCGTAATGGCTATGTCGCTGGACTCCCATGTGGTCGATCGTGGTTCGCGTCCTGGACCCGGTGGCTTAAAACTCACACCGGGCGCGTGTGCATGTGTGCCCAAGATCCCGAGAGGAGAATGGAGGAGAAGGGATTGTGGCGTGACCATCCCCCCTGGGGGGTGATTTCTCGCTTTCTGTCTCTATGTCTCTCTCTGTCTGCCTGGCGAGCGCACGCGCCCTATAGCAAAAATCTCTCCAAAAAAAAAAAAAAGAAACAGATCCAGTCAACCCAGACAACTAACAAACCACACAGACAAAATACTCCATGGGGTGCACTAAGAACCACATGTAGTCAATCACAGCACACAACATAAAAAGCAGTACACACATACCAACACAATCACAAATGTGCATTGGCATAAGATTTTTGCCTCCCATAGTCTATATCAACATTATATAATAGGACTTTCTGCAAAGATGGAAATGTTTTATATCTTTATTCTAATACAGTGGCAGTAGCTTCATGTGAATACTGAGTACTTGCAATACAGCTGGTGGAACTGAAGAACCACATTTTAAATTTTGCTTCATTTTAATTAATATGGCCACATTTGGCTTATAACATCATATTGCTCAGTGTGTGATTTAATTATGCACTGAAAACATGGTTATAAAAGCAATGTAGATGGCATAGCAGTA